GAGACCTCTCTTCCAAAACAAAGGAGTTTGCCTTCAGCCTTTCCCCAGGAGTATTTGATGTTCCACTGCTGTGCTGGGCTACCAAATATGCAGGTGAAGAACGTTCTGACAAGCATCCAGCAAAGGGATGTGCCATCCTCTGCTTCTCCAGCTGAGGGCTGATCATTTATTACTGAGAGAGAGGACAGCTTTACATCTGTTCATACAGACACAGAGACAGCTTTTACAGCAGAGGTGTCCACAAGCTACAAGAATTAGGTGGAGACCAACAATTCATTTTGTACAAGACAGACACTAGAGCTGAACAGCTCCATTTCTCACCGCAGCAATTCAGGCTGCAGGCCCAGGGACTGAAGCAGACCCTGAAGAACCATGAACTGCCTGCCTGTTACCTCCTGCCAGCTACCAATAACAATAAATACCAATAAATGCCATCAGAGCTGATAGAACCTGTGGTGTTAGAAACTGACCTGCAATTCCACTTCAGTTCTCCTCCTCCCATTTCTATGATAGAATAGAACCAAATTCCCACTCAGCAGCATGGTAATTAGATATTCACAAAGCAAACAAATTTCACATGACAGTCACCAGGAGACATATACATGGAAAAAAACATTTTAGTTTTCTTAGGGCCATTCTGGTAACAACAGGCTTGGAGGGATGCACTTAGTACCCTGCAAGCCAGCATATGAAAAGGTGTAATTTAACCTATCAGACCTAAAGAATAGCTATAGAAATTAAAACTGAAGCCACAAATCCACACACGACTGCCACAGCAAGGAGTTTTTATGATCAGGAAATCTAGAGTGGTAATTCACATGTGCTGCATTCTGATTTCTGCTTATCCAGAAGGGCAAGCATTATTTTGGACCAGCCTGCAAGAGCTGAGGTTCATCAAACCCAGGAGGTCAGTCTGTGGCTCTCTAGCAGTTCTCTGCACCATGCAGAAAGAAGCAGTCAATGCTGGGCAGGTTAATTCTTATTCTCCAACAATAATTTGCTCAATTGGTGTCTCCCCCTTCAATATAAACTATTTTCTTCTGCACAGAAAATCCCCACAAATGTTTTGAACTGGGGAGAAAGTTCTTACATCACTCTCAATCAAGTTCATGGGGAGAAAAAGCATTATAGCAGTCTTAATGCAATGCTACACTGACAGCAGAGACTGTAAATAAAGTAAAAAATAGCCCTGCAATATTCACTCTGCTGTGACCAACGGCACATGATGGAAAGCAACTCCTTTTAAATCAACCCAACCTACCAAGGGAATCCCCACAGGGGAAGATTTAAGTGTCAGGAAGGAGCTGCTGGAGGTGGCAACATTGTCTGCAGCTCAAGGCAAAGGGGATGGAACCACCACACCGACTGACACCACTGACAGGCAGCATTTCCCACAGCACTCTGGCTGACACAGAATCCTGCACAAAATTTGGGTGAGGTAAGGCTCTAGCCTGTTTTTAGATTTGGAGCATTTGTATTATACTGCAGGCATACAAAAAAAAACCCCAAACCACTCCAGACAGCAAGTTGTTCCAGGACATTTTGACTTTCCAAGTACAAAGCAAAGGAAACATTTAAAAAACATGACTCGTAAAGCTTTTGCTGCTCCCTGTTAAGATTTGCTGTCATCAGGACAGCATTTTTTGGATGAAAAATGTTTATTGCTAAAGGTCACAGAGTTGTCTGTTTCAAACAAATTAAGAAATAAATGGCTACTGACACTTCCAGATGATGATTCATCTGTCTGGGAGCTCCAATAACACACGGCCACAGCTGCCCCTCAGGTTTGCTGCAGACCACAGCAGCCACCAACTAACCCAGAAATCTGTCTTCACTCTACTGTCACTCTGTTAGCCAACTTCTCAGCCCTCTTCATAGACACACCAAAAATTCCTTGCTCTCAAGCTTGAAACCAGATGAAAAACATATGAAAATAACATCTGTCAGGAGAAACACTGCAGTAGCCACTTACTATTTCTATTATTACCAAAGTGCTCTTTTCTTCATGTGCAGCAAAGATTCCCCATGTATGAGATACAGGGATGAAAGAGGCTGATGGATCAGGACCAATATCACCATTCCCAGAAACCAGTGAAAGAGCAGAACAACAGAGAAGCATCCCAGCACCTCAAGGGCAGCTGGCAAACCCCAGCACATTTAACCCCAGCACAGGTCAGCACACAAGAAATGCTGGCAGGAGAGAGAGAGAAAGAGTGTCTCCTTGCCAGGGAAGGTCAAACTACTGAAGATTATTCTTTAAAGAGTTATTAAAGTTCTTGAGGTCTGTTTAGATAACCCTTGAGTGAAAGGCCAGCATGAGATACAGCAGAGATATCCAGTGTTTTATCCTGTCAGAGTAACATCTCGATGAAAAAAATTAATAAAAGATTTTTATTGAGTGATTCTCCTTTCCATCTTTGGCTTTTCACTGGAGTTTATGGCGACTATTTACTGATCTCTTCAGGGAAGGAGATGACATTTACTGTTTGTACTGTGCCCCTCTGATCTCAGACATGGCCCCTACTATCACTACATCCAACAGTGATTCTGCAACTTTAAAAGAAAGATGCTGCTACAGATTTAGGGGACTATTATTTCAAACAGAAGCACAGAATTCTTGAGGACAATACAGAATACTCTGCAGACAATACAGAGGACCAATCATTTATGATTTGCAAAGAAAAATCAAGAAATTTCTCCTCATTCTTTTTACTCCTCTCCAGTTCTGTGGCACAGCTGTGATGATAATCAGCTTGGACATGAAGTTCTTATTATCTGCCCAATTTAATCATAAGGAACAGATAACCAGGGCAGTTGCCCAACAGTCCAAATCCAAGAACGTGCTCTTTTCAAACATGTAACATATAAGTAAAAGTTTTCCTGGAACTTCTGCTCCTTCAAGCATTTCAGTTTGATGCACTAAACTATCAATTCTCAGTTACTGGGTTGAAGTGCTGTTGTTTAGGTTTTAATCATTTTTTTTTTAAACAATAGATAAATTACAACCAGAAATTTGTAACCATCAGCCTTTCAAGTCAAGATCATGTGCTTAGGATTTAAGAGCCCCCTAAGACCAAGGATGTATTTAAGCCCAATTGAGGGATGTGTAAGCCAACCCCAGTGTGGTTAAGGAAGAAAAGTGCAAATACAGAACTGACAGCACTGAAGGAAAGATGTTTCATCCTAACCAGTAATTGTCCCAGTGTGCAGAAATCAACTGTGCTAGCAAGAAAATACTGGTTTTAAAAAAAACTCAACCAAGAAAAATCCCCCACAAACAAAGAGAAACCCTACACCAGTTTTTATTAACACACTCTCTTCCCTTGACAATTCAGCTCACTATCCAGCACCTGGAGTCTTTTATTTCCATTTATAAATAGATGCTGTACACAAATGAATCTCGAGTACATCTTGCAACCTTTGTATGAATGGATGACCAAGGGAGAAGAGTTTCTGTCTTATCAGAGGCAGGTGGAACACAGAAGAGTGAGCTGGACAAACAGCACAGGTGCAGATTGAGGAGCAGGGGTGGAGCCAGGAGGGCTCTTTTTCACCTGGTCAGGGCACATCTAAAGAACAAGGAAAACAGATCCACAGGAAACTAGATTTCATTACTTCCACATGTTTGAAAAGAAATCCATTTGTACAATTCACTTGTGGTTACAGAATGAGCTTGTCTAACTTGCTTCTAGACTGAGTAGCAATAAAAAGACCTTGTCAGGAGGGTGGGTTTTCCTTCTCCTCACCTTAGCCTGAAAATCCTCTAAAGAAATACTTATTTCATGTAACATTGATTTGTTCAATGCAGCACACCTTGCTTGAAAACTAATGAGAGAAGAACTTCAGACCAAGTACTACAGCTGTTGGGTAGTGCCTATTTGGAAGCCAGTATAGGTCAGAACACTAAATATTCACAAACTTGTTTCTGAGCTCATTTAGGAGCTTCCTGTATGTCAGATTTCTGGAGATGTATCCTTTAGGATCTGTATAGAAAGCTCTTTTGCCTCACTTGAGTAATATCAGTGGCTTGAACTTTGCAGCTTATAAAGCTAAATAGTCTCAGTAAAACTCTAAAGGAAAAAACAGAGTTACTAGATCTGACCATAACCTCTCAAAGTTACTGTGCCCTCTTCAACACCAGTCAGAGAATTTTTCCATGGGATTTCTCCACCTATGCAATGTCTACGTAACAGAGGCATTGATTCCTCCTTCACTTGCCTTTTCTACCACAGCAAGGGTGCAAAACACAAGGCAAAGCAGAGCTTAATTTGCATCAGGTACCATATAAATGGCTCAGAGAAAAGGATCTCAGCGGCTGCGTGCACACACTGCTGCTGCCATGACACGCGGCTGTTCCCTTTGTGGTGATGTGGGGTGCCAGTGACTCCACACCTCTGCAGACAGCACTTCAACCCAATCCAAGGTGACTACTCCAGGCAGTGCAGTACAAAACATTCAGGGAAGTTCCCAGCAAGAGAGAAAAATGGTTTGGATGCTGCACATTTACTTTTCAGGAGCACAAAATTCATGAGAAATGCAAGCCAAAACATAGGCAGTCCCAGGTGGAAACCTTTTATCAAGGATTCTTTTACATGTTCTGCATCAAGAAAGGAAAAAAAAAAAAAGCCAGGAAAGCTGAATGTAAGGAGTGAGCTATTCCCATCTTCTGGCTTTGTTTTTTGTTATTTCAAGAGTCAACACTTAAGATTTTACATTAATGGCTACACAGGCCTTTAGCTGAATATTAAAACCAGCTTCCCTGGCTTTTCATATTGCCCAGAACACAGGACAGCCCATGTCAACAGCAGCTAAACCAGCACACCGTGAATACAGAACACAAATTTTTTGCTTTCAAATGTACCAGAGCAGGACTCCCCTGAGCTGGCATTCCTCTGCTGCCGGCAAGTAAAAAACCTCAGGTCATTACACACATATCTGCAAGTGCATTGATCCCTTAGGTAGGGAAGCCTGCAGGGGATGTCACACACAAGCCATCCTACCTCTGTCACTGAAGTCATCCACCAGCACGATCTCTGCCACCAGCTCGGGAGGGGAGCGGTTCAGGACGCTGTGCACTGTCCGGAGCAGGGAGGACCATCCTTCGTTGTGGAATGGGATTATCACACTTGTGTTCGGGAGCTTCTCCAGGTACAGCTTGTTCTTGCAGCTGGACACAGACAGAGCAAGTCAAAAGGTGCTGCCAGAACACACCAATAAACACCCAAAACACACCAGCACTTCTGTATTAATTACCAGCAAGCAAATTTTTTTGTCCTTTACTCCTCAGAATGATGCAGAGTGCATTAATTTTCCTGATTTTGTAATAGGGGTGACAAACTTTTTCCTTGTAGGGACTGTTTCAAGGTAGTTTCATAAATAAAATTCTGCACTATGAAGTGCAGTGTTTACTTTCCTGCAGGTGTGGCCATAAGTGGACTTTACACCTTGTTGAACAGGTAACCTCTAAGACCACACAGAGACCCAATGTAGTTAAAAAACAACCAGCAGCTCTTCAGTAGGGGTCAAAAACCTCTTCCATCCCTAGAGCCTTCTGTGTCCAGAACAAACCAGAGGTAGCTGTGTGAATGGAGGTGTGTGGAGGGTACAATGACAATGCCAGCAGGACAAGCTGCCCTATGTCCAGGAGCAGTGTGTCCCACGCTGCTCCCTGTCCCTTGCACGGCCCCCAAGCTGCTGTGCCCTGCCAGACCCTGGGAGGCTGTCACTGTGCACAATTCCATGCACACAGGCAGTAATTCCTTCCCCTGGCCCCCAGAAGGGCAGATGGGAATGAAAGCAGCCCTGGCAGCTTTTTCCTGGTACCTTTCCCGGGGCATGGAGAAGGATGCACCTATGTTATACAAGCTCGATACATCTGTGCCTACAGGAAGTTACTCTGGTGCCTGTGTGAGAGGACAGTAACTCATTCTGGGTGCAATGAACTGTCCTGGGGTGCTGCCAGGAGCCTGCAGGCTGTGGCTGCAATGCACAGATGCAAACTGAAGCTGCAGGGAATGCTTTCATCCAGCCCTTGGCATTGCCATCCTAACCTTCTTCCAACAGCTACTAGCTCCAGTTCTGTTCCAATATGAGCCAAGAGCCCTTGAACTGTTCCTAACTCTTCTTAAACTAGAATTCTCATTTTCTGACTAACTTTAACAAGTGGGAAACTCTAGCTATTAAGTTTAACCATTAAGCGTGGAGAGAAATTGCTTCCCTCCAGCTACTGTATCTACAATTGCTTTACAAGACCTGCAAAATTAGTATTTAATATTAAAAACCCTAGAGGCGCTTAAAGGAAATGTTATCAGGGGAAGACATGACTGTTGAAACAAACAATTGTATGTGTGCACCAGGCAGATCCAGAACATGCTGTTCCCCAGCTCCCCGAGTCCCACAATTAACAAAGGAGAGGTGACACACTATTTGGTATATTGAAGTCCACACAAACCATCTTGCACAACAGCTGCTTTTTTGCCCTTCCCCAACCAGGGCAGCTGTTGGGGGGAAGCCCAGCTGTGGCCCCAAAGCTTAGGGCAAGGCAGATGATGCATTTTTCCACAGTACACCTTCTCCTCACACTCCCTGCTGTCTGCAGGCACATCTCCAAACTCTCTATTCGTTTACTGCATGTAAGAGTAAAGAGCTGTAAAACACAGCTCCCTTCTTTCTGGAATACTCTTTATGGACTTGTGACTTTATGACTAAGTCTCAGCCTAACTTTGTTATAAAGTGCCCTCATCAACCTCTCCAGTAACACAAACCATACCATTTCATGTATATCTTTTTTAATGGGCACAGAGACTGCACAGCAGATCTTTCCAGTCGTGAATTCCTTCACTGCACATCCCCACCCTGCTCCCTGCCCAGCTAATCCCAGCACCCATTAGGCACATGCTGTTTATCCATTCCTCGAGGCCCCCACAATTACAGTTCGCTGTGCTGGGGGAAAGGATGTGTCAAGGAACAAGCAAACCACTGCAGCAGCACCATTAATCACAGTTTAAGTGGCTGGTGTACCAGACACTTCACTTATTAATTTTATCTGGGGATGGAGATAGAAGTCTCATATTTAAAAAAAGTTTAATAGCAGAATTAGCAACACTGAGTCGGTAATTTCAGGAAACACTGGAGCATGGGAGGTAACACATTAAACCTTCAGATAATGAAATACTGGCATTGTCTGGTGTTTAATTTCTCAGAGCCCAAGGCAGACCCTGTAAATGGAGGCCAGGTGGAATTTAGGTTCATAAACTCAAACTGTATTTCCTAGAACTTGAGCATTGGCTGATCCACAAACATCTTCAGTTACCTGATTTATCTCTGTGTTTAAACATTTCAGCTGCATGCCTAAAATATTTATGGAGCTACACTCACTACTTTGTTTTATGTGTTTATATTGAGAGAGGGTGTCAAAGCCAGTGTATTTGATTAGTTTGCTGTGACAGCTGAAGAGGTAATATCTCAATTGTGAAGTTAACAAATTATAAAAACTGACTTCTGGAACTTGTATCTCATGAATAAAGTGGATGTTGAATTCAGATTTACTAAATTGTAATAAACAGCTTTACACAAAAGAATCTTAGATTCAAATGTCTAACAATGCTTTCAGATTAAGAACTCCAGAAACAGTATTTAAAAACCTCTCAGCTTTGTATAAACAAGGCCTAAGACCTGTTGCACTTTTGCTAGAGAAAACCTTCTAGCTTGACCAAAATCCAGTACAGCACCATCCTACAGTATAATGTCCAAAATCAGATGGACTCTAAAGCCAGCATTCAGTTGGAATTCATTTCTACTGGTAAACCCTGATGTGGCTGCTTTTATGAGGAAGAGGTCCACAAAAATAATCCATAAACCTGGTAAAACTCTTCATACGTAGTTGAGTAAAGCTACTCACATCTTTTTCTGCTCCTGAGCATTCCACAGCCATTTCCAGCTAGTGGCCAACATAAGAACTGGAAGCTCTGGGTTACATTAAAGATTTCTTCTGAACAGGGTTGGAAGTCTGTGGTAATTTGAAATCTTTTGAAATCAAAACCTGATTTTTTTTTCCCCAGATCTGGTATCTTCTATTTCCCACTGAAATTACTACACACCGTCCTTTACTAAGGAAATACCAGGGCCCAGCTGAACAATGATTGTATTTTATGAACAAAGGCACAAGAGTTATAATAAAAAAGAACACAGAGGTGGTAATTTAGATCTTTCAAACCTTCACACCTAGAAATGCCAACTGTATACTCACTTTGGATGCCTGATGTCTGGAAGAGAACGATTCAGAGAAATTTTATCACTCACAAAGATATTAAAGCCATTTTCCCTGTATGCCTGGTCCACTCGCTCTGCGTCAGTCATTGGGTAAGGTTTTCCCTGTTCTCCATTTCCTGTGGACAGACAGAAAGTAAATACAGATCATTGCTGCTAATTAGTGCTTAACGGGCCAGAAACTAATCCATAGAGCAAAAAAAAGAGCATCTTAGAGTCCTTAGAACATTTCTTAGTTTTGTGCTGTCATATTTAGCACCAGGTCAATCACATCAATTTAACAATTTTATCTCATAAGCAGTTTTGCTACAAACCAACTCAGCTGTGCAAATTGAAGGTAAAAGTCTTCCTTCTGACACCAGAAACAGATGAAGGGTTTTCAGCAATGCTGTGGAGCATCTACAGAATGCCTTTTGTTTCACAGTGGGAAGAATCCATGTGGTTTGAATATCTCAGCACTGCTGGAATTCTCAGCACAGATGGATCTGTGCTCTTGCACTGAGGGGCAGAGCCCTCGCAAACACATCAGTGTAAAGCTGTGACATTCAAAATGGGCCTTATTTGCAATGCAAGACAAACCCCAGAATTATGGAATAGACTTGCATGAACGTTATAGTCCAGAATGTTTTTCTTATTCTTCCTTTCTGGATCTCCCATTTTTGGGAGAGGAACATGCACGCTTTTTTGAGGGGGGAGGCGGGTGAGTGGAAGTTTTTTAAAAATCAATTTTTCACCTGCCATAGAAATACCAAGATTTATGTGATATGTGTGCACTTAAAAATAGTGATTGTGGACTGGAGGAAAAAGGATTTTAATTGGGATTAATAAAGTTGTAGATTAACAGATGAATTTTCTTTAATGCTGAATCATGTCAAGAACATCACCTTGACCCTGAAGGTGAACATGTTGTTCTATAGTCTGCCTACCAAATAAAATCAAAGTTACAGTCTGTATTAAAATATATTTCTAGCAATCTTACATACCTACACGCTCAGAATCCCTCCTTATGGCTTCTTTGTTATGCCAGTCCTTTTTCCTTTGTCCATCAGCATAGTAAGAGTCTTTCTTTTGCCTCACGTATGATGCCTTTTAAACAAAAAATTGGATATATAATAAATACACAACAAATGAAACCTTTCCTCAGCAGCCTCCCCTTCCTGTAAGAGGAAATTAAACATCTCCCTTAAGGCAAGATCATCACAAGCAAGTGGCTTTTAGCCTGAAAGGGGAGAGGAGGAAGTGAGTTTTGCTTGTCTCAGAACTTTATCTATGTCTGTTAAGTGATATTTTTCCAGGGCACCATCCATATGCAGAACAGTATTTCTTAATCAGAGAATCTATTAAAAACTCCCATTTTCATTTTGAAAACATCCAATACATCTTACAGCATTTTTGTTAATTAAATAGATGTAATGGGAGACCTATTGCAGGATCATTATTAATGAGACGCTACCACACCTGAATAAAATCAAAATAAGATTTAAAAGGTCATTTATTAAGACTCTTGCTGCTGAACCCAATTAGAGATTCCATTTCATTATGTTGTTCCTGAAATTCAGAAGCCACAGGCACTTTGAAAACAAGTCAGCAAATGAAGATCCCCAGTAACCCAACACCTCCAGCTCACCTCTGACTGCACACAATGCAGACTCACATTTGCTGAAGGAAAGAGGAGTCATGAGAGGCACTGCAAAAGGTTTATTGATTCACATCATGCAGGAGAAGGCAAGTGCAGCCCCAAAGCAGCTGAGCTGGTGAAAAACCACACACTCCTGTCATGGAAGGGCTCACCTGAACTCACCAAACATAAATATCAAGCTAATTTGCTTAACCTGCCTTGTGGTTTTCCAGCTGTCCCATTAAGCACCATTGTTCTCCTGTGAATTCCTACCTGGTGATAATGCCACCCCTTCTAATCATTCCCACTAAATAACCCACACTAGAGCACACTACCATCCTGTGGAATTTTTGCCTCTGTTTTGCGAGAACAATTCTTTGCCAGACCAGCTCACTGACCAGTCTCCTCTCCAGGATACTCCTCTGCCAGGAAAAGTCCTGGAAAGCTCTCACAGACCAGAGCACCTCCTTGCCAGGAGAGTTTCGCCAGCTCTCCGAGCACTAGTCTTCTGCAAGAGTATCATAATGGGCACAGGAACAACTGGCAAGTCTGAAATTTCTGTATTTTAGGTCTCTTTTGTCTCTTGTTTATAGTGCTCTGGACTGACTGCACACACCAGGAGAATTGCTGACAACGCCACTGTCCCTCCTGCCATTTGCTGGGATTAAACACGTGTTTAAAAATCCCTTAAAAACAGTTGCTCTGGAAACCCCACCCACCATTGCAGAGGAGAACATGGCCAGAGTGTCCAGGGGAATCCAGCAGGAAGAATACACAGTACAATTCTGAACCTCACAACACCCACTGCGCTTGTGGGAGCCCAGCACCCCAAGTCAAACCCATACAAAGAGCAGGGAATTCAGGCAACCTGGGGAAAAAAAGGAAAACTGAGACCCACCAGCAAGCAGACATCCAATCTAACAGAGCATTGCTAAAAGTATTTAAATCCCATCTCTTCCTGGGACTTGGGCAACTTAAACTAGAATTGCAGAGGCACCTCCCTTCCCTCTGAAAACATCCCTTAGAAAATACCTGCCCATTGCTGCAGGTACCCTTGGGGGCTGCTCTTGGCTGTGGCTGGGGTAGAGTTAATTTTCTGCACAGGAGCTGGTATGGGGCTGTGATTTGGCTTTGTGCTGGGAGGTGTTGATAAAACAGGGATGTTTTTGCTGCTGCTGGACAGGGCTTATCCAGAGTCAAGGCCTTTTTGCTTTGCCCTCAGTGCAGGGAAGTTGGGAGGGGACACAGCCAGGAGGGATGACCCCAGGGACATCCCAGACCATGTGGTGGCATGCTCAGTGCATAAAGCTGGGGAAAGGAGGAGGAAGCAGAGATGTTTTGGAGTGATGACATTTATCTTCTCTGCTTTCCTGGGGAAAGCTGAACACCTGCCTGCCCACGGTAAGTGGGGAATGGATTCCCTCGTTTGTTTTGCTTTGTGGGGTTTTTGCTTTACTTTTTAAACTCTTTATCTCAACCCATGAGTTTTCTCACTTCTACTCTGCCAGTTCTCACCCCACCCCACGGTGGGGTGAGCGAGCGGCTGCGTGGGGCTGAGCTGCCAGCTGGGATACAACCACGACTCATTCCTTCTGGAACACACTAACTGGATGGATCTGGAGCTGTCCTCCACAACAGCTCCCAGGAGACAGGAGAGATGTTTCAAACACACCCCAGAGGATTCACACTGACATCTCCAGAACCCTCTGAGGGAAGCCACAACAGTGGGCTGGTTCAGGAGGGGCATCTCTCACCATTACACAGCTGTCCCACCACAGCAGCAGCCTAAAAGCCATTAAAAAGCATTTGCAGCCATCCCTGCTCAGCGTGTGCATCCCCAGGCTCTGGGCTGGAGTGATCCTTGTGTTTGTGTGCTCAGTGTAGGATAATGTGTACTGGGAAGTAAATTTTCTGCACAGCTTCAAGCCATTCTTCAGAGGGGTCAGCAATGTGCATGTAAACATCCTCAGAGCAAGCAACAACCTAATGCAAGCAATTTAAACCCTAAGATAGAGGGAAAGCAGGCAGCAGCACACCATCCTCCAGGGTTGTTAAAATAAAGGAAAACAAAAAACAAAAACAAAAAGAACAAAACAAAACAAAAAAATCACAGGGACTGCCACTGCATTACACACAGCACCAATGAGGCAGATGGACAGTAGAAAGTCAAGCACACAGATGTATTTCTCTCAGTCCCAGATAAATTTACACACAAAAGCATCTGTGAGCTGGGTTAAGCTAATCCTGTCAGGGCCACACATGTCAGCAATTCACAAACTTTAAATTAAGCAAGAGGGAAAATTATGAAGCACACGTATCAGTTATTCAGACCTCTCTGAACTGCAGTGTGGGACTTCAGAGGTACACAGGGCAAGAGTTATTGATCCTGAGTCCTGGGAACAGGCTCTGTACAGCTCTCAGTCTTGGAGACTTAAAAGGATCAACATTTCTTCATGTTGGCATTGGCAAAATGAAATGAGGACTGTGCAGGGTGAGTCATTATCAGCTCCTCTGCCTGCACTGCTCATGGTGTTTCTGCCCTGGACAACAGAACACCAAGAGAGATTCACACAGGATAAGCACAACATGAACCTCTGTTGGATCAACATAAACCTCCAAGTGGCTTTTAGAATCCTGAAGAGTAGATGCAGTTCCAGGTCATGGCAGACATGCTGCATTCTGGAGCTTTTTTAGGTCTTGGGCAGAGAAGTTACCTTACTTCATCCAGCACTGGAGTCCTCCACTACATTTAATTCAGCTTGGGTAAATGTTAAGAGGTTAGACTATTTCTTACTGTATCCCTTGCAAGCAAACATACAATGCTTACACTGGTTTTGCAGGTCGCTGTTAAAACAGCGTAACTGAAAAGTCTGCTGTGAGTCACTGACAAGTTCTGTCAACAGTGTCTAAACATTAATTTTGAAGTGATTTTCAGTGCTAGAAAAGGAGTATCAGTGTCTTTGCCTCGGTGACCTTGCCAGCCCTCACCATCCACACAGCCCTGGAGGGAAGGTGGAGCTGCAGCAGCCCAATCACAGCCGTATTTCTGATTAAGAACCACACTTGCAACTCCAACCTAATCTCAGCAGACCACCAAAAGAAGTCAGAGTGAACCATAAAACATTTGCCTTCCCCCTCCTCAGCTGCAGTTCTTATCTCATGCCACCACTATCAGCAGGGCTGTGTGTAAGGCTGCGGGCACGATGCCACCACGGGCAGAAGGATGCACACATATGTCCTCAAAGTCCCTCTCCCTGGGAAAATAGGCAGGTTGCTGACATTGATGTGATTTTGGAAGCTCTTTTCCTTCTTTCTTGCTTCCCCCCCCTTTGTAAAAGATGTCTGAGCTCTAGAAATCCAGACACAGCATACAGGGACCAGAATGTTGCTTTTTTTAGTGGTTTCCTTCAGGGATGCTGCATGGGATTTGACTCAATTATGCAAATTACATAACTTGATGATACTCCTTCAACAAATGCTCTAGACTGTGATATCAGAGCAATCTGCAAAACACAGCAAGTTTCCTAGGACTGATTTTTGCTTTAAGTCTTAAACTAGTATCTCCTTTATGGGGAGCTATGTCATATGTGTAATGCTGTATTTCATCTCAATTGCCACTCTCATCCTAATTTCTCATTAATTCTAGCTGCATAGCAGGAGGTAGAACATTTTAGTCCAAACCCTCAAGCATATCCCCCCTCATGTGCATTTTATCTGTGGAAGGCAGTGACCATTGTTTGAACATGGGAGCTGTCAATTCTGCATGGTTAGGGTAAATTCACATTATGGACGTGGATTTCTATCCCAATAAAAGAGGTCAGCAATTTTCACTTTTGCTCTGCGTTAGCTTTGCATTTCGCAAAAATATTGCTGGTTTTTTTTGAATGGTCAATTGTAAACAGCATGTAAAAAGCACATTTTAAAGTGTGAAGGCTTCATTATGATCATGTAGTCAGGCTGTGTAAGTACACCAGCCATTGAATTCCATCCATTAACTCCTCCAACAAGCCCATAACTTCTATTTCAGCTCAAGCACATTCTCTTTTCCTTAGGAGCTGCAAGTTGTTTACCACTAAGGAGAGATTACTTCTCCAGCAATATCTTAAACTGTTCTCCTTCCTGTTTCCAGCCTTCATTTTTTAAAAACTGAAAATGAACTAAAGTAAAAAGGCATATTAAGCAATACACTGAAAATGGATTTAGACAGATTGCTGTAAATAAGCCCCTTCTGTTGTCTACCACACTGTTGCTTAACACGCCGCCAAAGCAATTGATCAGCGTTCAAACGCCAAATGCACAAAAATGGAATTTTAATTTTTTGTTTAATCACTATTTAGTGCGCCTGGCTGCAGCCAAAAAAAAAAAAAAAAAGTGGATGGAGACATAAGCCAAGTGTTTTCTACACACAAGGAAAAAAGATTTGCTGAAGCATATATGTTAACCATAATGCTGTACAGATCTCAAACCC